CAACTGTCTCTCTCCTCCTTCGCCTCCCCATCTCTCTCCTCCTTCGCCTCCCCATCCTACCGGTAACTGTGTCCTCCTTCGCCTCCCCATCCTCCTTCGCCTCCCCCTTCAACTGTCTCTCCTCCTCCTCCTACCGACAACTATCTCTCTCCTCCTTCGCCTTCCTGTCCTCCTACGCCTCCCCATCCTACCGACAACTACTTCTCTCCTTCGCCTCCCCATCCTACCGACAACTATCTCTCTCCTCCTTCGTCTCCCCATCCTACCGACAACTATCTCTCTCCTCCTTCGCCTCCCTACCGGGCCTACCTACCGACAACTATCTCTCTCCTCCTCCTCCCCGTCGCCTCTCCCCTTCGCCTCCCCATCCTACCGGTAACTGTGTGTCTCCTCCTTCGCCTCCCCATCCTACCGACAACTATCTCTCTCCTCCTTCGCCTCCCCATCCTACCGACAACTATCTCTCTCCTCCTTCGTCTCCCCATCCTACCGACAACTGTCTCTCTCCTCCTTCGCCTCCCCATCCTACCGACAACTATCTCTCTCCTCCTTCGTCTCCCCATCCTACCGACAACTATCTCTCTCCTCCTTCGCCTCCCCATCCTACCGACAACTATCCTCCTTCGCCTCCCCATCCTCTCTCTCTCCTTCTTCGCCTTCCTGTCCTACTTGTAACTATTTCTCTCCTCCTTCGTCTCCCCATCCTACCGACAACTGAATCTCTCCTCCTTTGCCGCCCTCTCCTACTTGTAACTATCTCTCTCCTCCTTCGCCTCCCCATCCTACCGTGAAGTATCCATCTCCTTTTCCTTCTCTCCCATCCTCCCACTAACTAGCTCCTTCATCCTGCTTATCCCTCCTGGAACCCCTCCCCCCGCCTCCTCCCCCATCCTCCCAGTTACTAGCTCCTTCCTCCTCCTTGTCCCTCCTGGAACCCCCCTCTCCCCTCCTGCACCATTACCCTTATCAAAGTTCCACGCACGCTTTATTCACTAGGCAATAGATAAGAATGAAAATACACTCATATGCACCTGCCCGAAAGTAGAACACACAAAACTATTTCATCAGACATAATGATGTATTCATTGTTTATAGTGGTTTATAACATAAAAGAAACCAAACTTTCTTTATCTGAAACTAGAGAATACCATCGCTGGTGATTATTGAGTGCTCAGAATTTCTGACCTTAAAGTGAGGGTTCGACATCACCGGGAAAGCCATGAAATCCTATCAAGTAGGGACTTCATTAAAGGGTAAGTTATTGTTTGGATATTCGCCCCACGACCTTATTTTGTAGCCATATCGGCACTCTACTGCATTAATCCTCGTAATGGACATCTTGTCTGGAGAAACGAACATCATGTAATGTCTATTTCACACGCAAACTGATTGCTTTCATTACGTATGTTTAGCCTGTGCTTTTCCCTCAGAAAAAAAGATGATAGATCATTATGTGTTAATAGTCAATTTGTCATTTGTTTATATCATATCTTCTCATCCTTACATAATGAGATTGGCTACTGAATTCGGTGTGTTTTGACATCACACGGGTTAACATTTGAAGCTGTTCAGAATAAAGACAGCTTTGACACAATGTATACCGTTGTTGTGGCTTAAATTATAATATATCACAATGAGAGAAATTCTAAGAGCTCCGGGTAAATGAAAGATTAATATTTTAAAAGTGGACACAATCCTGTTTGTTCGTACACAATTTCTTTGACGGAAATATCTCGAGAGTGTTTTTTGTCTTGGAGACTGGTGGGTAAATCCTGGTGAAGGAATCTAGACACAAGTTTGCTTGAACCTGCATAGCAAGTTTGAATCTTCATGAATTGGTCCATAGCTTTGTTCAAACATATATACCTGACATTCTTTTAAAATCTAAAATTTCTTGATTCATTGAATATGAGATTTTAGATTATGATTTAAATTTGGTTTTATAAGTTTTTGTAAGTATTCCAGTCTCGTCTTCTGGGTACGACTTAAGGTCACCAGCATCCCTGATGAGTTCTAGCAGTATAAAACCACTGTATGGAGTTTACAGGTACTTGTTTGACACATACTCTACCTAATTCTATTATTTATCTAATGATGATCACGTGATGATATCCATGGTTTCTTTCCATTAATACATCTAATTAATAAATAAAGAAGTAAGAGATATAAAGATATATTGACAAGATTTCCTTAAAAACTTCGATAATATTATCAAAGACTGTGTTTCCCTAAATAAAAAAATAAAAAAAGATCACTATATTCTTAGCTACAATAGTATGATTCTGAAACAGAAGCAACAGCCGAGATCATACGCCTGGTTGTACCGCGTAGTTTTATGTTTATCGAGGAGTTTATAGACGTAATGTACCACTTAAGTAGATTAAAGCTTTCCATGACAGAAAATACCCACCAAGGGATTGAACGGTAACGTAGTTTACTCAGAAATTTTAGAAATTGGGAAAAAACGAGTCAAAAAGACAAAAAACCGTGATGTGAGTTTTGTTTGGGTTATCGGAGTCTCGTAAAGAAATGAGTCTCTTAGGTAATTAACCGTGATGTGAGTTTTGTGTGGGTTATCGGAGTCTAGATTAGAAATGAGTCTCTTAGGTAATTAACCGTGATGTGAGTTTTGTTTGGGTTATCGGAGTCTCGTAAAGAAATGAGTCTCTTAGGTAATTAACCGTGATGTGAGTTTTGTGTGGGTTATCGGAGTCTAGATTAGAAATGAGTCTCTTAGGTAATTAACCGTGATGTGAGTTTTGTTTGGGTTATCGGATTCTTGGGAAGAAACGATACTTAAAACGAAATTAAGTATCATTCTAGCGCTAGCATAGCCCTTTACAGAAACTAAAGTCTGGAATGTGTCAACACTGTAAGAGCATGTGAAAAAATGAGTTATTAGGAAAGATTTGGTGTAGTTTTACACTGTCCTTTAATAAAGTATGTTACAGAGCAGAGTCTCTGAGGCTCTTAACCCCGGTACAATTATGTCGTGATTAATAAAGAGACAGAGATGAGTCACTGAGGGTCCTACCCCGGGTATAGTTATGTCGTGATTAATAAAGAAACACAGACGAGTCACTGAGGGTCCTACCCCTGGTATAGCTATGTCGTGATTTATAAAGTATGAGACAGAGATGAGTCACTGAGGGTCCTAACCCCGGTATGATTATGTCATGATCAATAAAGTATGAGACACAGATGAGTCACTGAGGGTCCTAACCCTAGTATAGTTATGTCGTAATTAATAATGTATGAGAAAGAGAGACAAGTGTAAATGTAGAGTATTTGAGATGGTGCATAACCTGTTCATTTTTTTATTGGTATGAGACAGAAGATGAGTGATCGTTGCTCTAACCCTATGCAGGTTACGTACAGTATGTTGGAGGCTAGGACAGATATGAGTCATTTTGGGGTATATATATAGCGTACAAAACAGAATAACTCCGGAACATCAGCTGCCTTTGTCGTAGTCTGTAACAGTGGCCAATACCTGTACCAAATCATCGACTTCTAAAGCTAGGAAAAAAATGCCCACACTACATTATTATCTTAACGAATTTGAACTCGTTCCTCCCCATCAAGCTTCGTTAGAAACACACGTGCATAATTAAGTCACGAGTCCGCGGCCGCTACAAATTGCTGGAGCATGGTTTGGTTTTGGACCCGGATATCAAAATACATACTGATGGAGTTAGGATTAAGTTTACCATTGGAATTGGTGTGTGTTGGCATATGGTCAATGGGAGGTTGTCGAAGGTTAAACCTCTAGACTGGACTACTCTGGTTTGTTAGCTTGCTTACATAAATATTTGTATAAACAATTATTAACTCTACCGGTTTTTAATTATAAGCATTGTTACAACGACGCCGAGAAGGACGCATAATACTTACTGATCGCGATGATATAAAAAAATTGTGATATTTCTCGCATTCTGTTTGGTAAGTCGCTATAAACATAAGTAATGGTTTGTTAGATTGGATCGTGGACCGATAAATATATAAACCTATTATTACCCACACATTCATTTAAAACTTGGAAGGTTGGAAGACGCCACCTCGGCTCATACCACCCATGTAACAGAAGCAGCATCAGCAGCTAACACAGGTAGACCTGACGTAATGACACTGGCTGAGATCACGACCAGTGAAACACGGATTTTATTCTTGTAGTAATTACTGGCTGCCCTCAACAGAAGAGAGAGAAAAAACACAGTTTACAAACAGATCTCATTGTTCTGTGGCATTGCAGGCCGCGCAGCAACATGGCCCTATAATATGATATTAGTGAGTGATAAAATGTTATCAATAAAATTAGTACCGGACTGACGACAGATATTGCCGGGACACAGTGTCATACGTCGGCACGCGGGGGTTCCAAGCATCAATATAAGCGTGTGGAGCGCGCGCGACATCTATACTTGTCTCTGGAGCTGATCAACAGTCGATCGATGCGAGTTCGATATCGAAATCTATATACATATACCGTTGTCGCTGTGACAGCGACACAGGGACAAGAACAGTGAGACTTGTATCTCGTATCTCTGTCTTAGTGTGTGATAGGGCAAATGAATTAGAAAAGTCGTCTCTGTGATCGAGACACGAAAACTGTAACGATCGATGGTTGGAAAACACAGCGTTCATCTGTTAACTCTAAACCAGTGCGTTGACGACAAAGGAGCACACGAGACGTGTGTCATTACAATGATGGAGACGAGTGTAGAGGACAATGATGACAAGGGATTCACATCGTTTGATTGTCGGGCTTTGTTTACCTGCATCACGTGTTTTACACGCGCCTGACACTATTTCGGCATTCGTCGTAGTCAGTTCTAAATCAGTGGTTTTTGCAGCACATATATTTCATCGGTAGAGGAGAGTTTTTTTGTTTGTTTGGATTTTTTTGCCAACAACCTTTACCTTGTACAACCGCAAAAATGTGTGATTTTATGGAAAGCACGTGCGTTTGTTTATATTTGGTATAGTGCAATAGTGTGAGGATGACGAACCGGAAGGGATTTTTAGCTCAACAAAATACATTTTTGGATACCATAGCAACCCGGTTCGACGGTACACGTAAGTAAATTATTGTTTACTATTTCCTTTTGTCCTCTCGGAGTGTTTTTAAAGCAATGCAAGTCATCATGCTTTGTAAGTCAGTGAACATGAAACCGAAACATATCACGGTAAGTCTCGCCACATGTGAAGTGATCTATTACGCCTAAAGTGAACGCACGTGCGTTTTTATAAACTATGGTGCAAAGGCTTTTAGCCAGCACAAATACTCCTATACTATTGATTAAAAACGAAAATGATTCTATAGCAGATAATGAAAATTCTCATGATATCACGTGCGGTGTATAAATAGGAATGACAGAGATATGTATCTGACGTGCATCTATTTAGAATCTGACAACAGTTTGAAAATAGATTTTGATTGTTTTGTGTAAATAATTATCGTTTACCGAGAAAACGTGTATATGACTACTTCTACAATTCTGATTGGTTGTTCAGCGTTGTTGATAAGAAATCATTGTGAACCATCAACTATTTTTACACATTAAACAGAGCTGTGTTACCTTAACGTATCAGACATCAACACAGTGTTATCAAATCTTGAAACAGAAGACAATAAATCGGAACAAAGGCTACTTTACACCTACATCATTCACGTCTTCTCAAAATATATGGCTGCCTTGTGAGAATTTGTCATTTACGTAATAACATGATTTATCATTAACCACATAACAAAGGAAAAATGCGGTATTATGACCCTATTAATTTTCTGTATACACTGCACGCGGGATGCCCGTGTAATGAAAACGAAAGTGTTAGTAGATCTTAGGTTTTATTCGTTTATTTAGGGTACGAAAGTAACCCATCAAATATCAAAATACTGCAAACGCCTTACGATACGGCTTATTAGATGCTTCATGATCATTCAAATACAATGTCACTTGGCGAGAATTATAACGTATTTCTGCTGGAGACATTTTCCATTTTCGTTCTATTCCTCCAGACATTAAAGTATCGTGATTTCGCCTTATTATACACTGTTAGGTTATACATCAGTCCTCCCTTGCACGTGAGGCTCATCTAGTCCTGAGTTACATACAGCAGTCGCCACGGATATCACCAACACATACAATCTATATACACTTGTCATCTGTCAGCCTGGAAATAGCCTCAATAATTCAGATTTGGTCTCATGTTTGAAGTCTAGCTGTCGTTTTAGTCTTGAATAATTCCATTATTTGCAATATGTGTAATCTACCAGTGTAAGCTTGTATGCTACATATCAGTAAATATCGTTTGTCCACAGTATCATTTATTAAGGTCTTTATATTTTTAAAGCCTATACAATTCCATATACAACATGTGTGTATGTCATTACCTATATACTTTCGTATATCTAGCCATCCAGTGCATTACATATGATTAATGCAAATGACCAATTAAACGTAATTATAAGTAAAAAAATTCTATAAACGTAAACGTACACCGTGTTTACATTACATAGACGCTCTTGTTCCTCTTTACTGGAGTCAAACCCCATCCCCGTCATATCCCTACCCCATCCCCGCCCCATCTTTGTCCCTACGCCGCTGCATCCCCGACCCATCCCTGCCCATTGCCGCCCCATCCATACCCAATCCCTGCCCCATCCCCGCACCATCCCCGTCCCATCGCCGCCCCATCCCTGCCCTGCCCAAAGGCGCCCCATCCCCGCCCTACCCCTACCCCATCCCTGCTCCATCCCCGCCTCATCCCCGCCCCATCCCTGTCAATCGCCGCCCACTCCCTACCTCATCCCTGCCCCATCCCCGTCCCATCGCCCCCCCCCCCCCCCCCCATCCCTGCCCAAAGGCGCCCCATTCCCGCCATACCCCTGCCCCATCCCTGCCCCATCCCCGTCTCATCCCTGCCTCATTCCCCAAATTACTGTCACAATAGCTTTACACCATTCTATGTATGCTTTACACCATTCTATGTATGATATAGATGGCTGTTTCAATATAAATGTTCCTGTATGTAAAATACTAAATTAGTGATGCTTTCTATATGTACAGAGCATCATACTGTTTCATATTCCGGTATCTCCTTTACCAATGTCGAGAAACAAAATTCATATAAAGTAATTCTGTACGGATTAATGACGATTGAAAATCAGTGTCTAATTAGAATAAAACGAAGCAAGCGTCGGTCTACCAGGCTGACGGGAACACACATTACTCAGACATAATCCGCAAGTAACGACATTTCGGCGACAGTTAGATGTTTTAAGCCCTTTTCCACCAGAGACTCCATTTGGTTCTGCTGAAATTAGATTTTGCATTGGAAACCTTCGATATTGATATGCGATACCGTCACTCGCCTTGACAGAAAACCATACCTCATAGGAACACTGTTTCTGGCCTTCTGTCAAAATGACACATGGTATAAATTGACAAAAACTCTTTCTATGTCAGGCATTGAAATTTTTAGCGTTATGTAATGGAATAAAATTTGATATTAATTTTTTTTTTTTAAATCACGCAACTTTTAAGGCACCATTCCATATCGCCTCATGACATTAGTGACTAGAATAAACTGAGATACACTTCAAAAACAAAACAAGCTGCATTTCTGATCAACGGGATGTAATACCGAAGTATTTCAAAATGTTTCTTTTGTGTGATAAACTCCTAAACACGTGTTGGGACACACGACGGATCCTGTATATATTTCAGCATCTGTCTCACACCAAACTGTTGAGTGATAAACAATACGGTGTAGTCATTGTATATGACTTAGGCTAATTAAAGTACGCAATAAATACGTAACCTATCGGAGGATCAGTCAAACGCCACCTGTCGCTGCAAACTGTCTCCCGGTACGTGCCTGATGCATCAGTTTGATTAATTCCGGCGCTAGAAGTCAGAAATACATAATATTTAAATACATGTATAACGATTAGACCTGAAAAAGATAACGACATAGGTTTTAATGGGAAGTTTTAATGAACTTTTTCTATGTGATCACGTAGTAACTAGACAGACAGACAGACAGACAGACAGACAGACAGACAGACATTCTCTATTTCCTCTTATTACAAGAGAGTTTGTCAATCAATCAATACATAGATGTGTTACATTTCAATGTATACATATATATTTTCTCAATCAAACATCGAAGTGTGACCCCGTAGTAACTAGATATATAACCTTTTCTGTGTGACCCCGTAGTAACTAGATATATAACCTTTTCTGTGTGACCCCGTAGTAACTAGATATATAACCTTTTCTAAGTTACCCTGTAGTACATAAGTGCCAGAAAGTTCGATGATATAACAGCCAATTGTTGTATTTGATAATAGTTAATTTGTAACTTCAATTTCTTCTCCTTCATTTTCTTTCGATCGTTCTGCCAAGTTCAGCATAAATGGGAAATTATCTGACTTCTATAATTGGTTTATTGCTGTCTTGGTCGGCCAATACAGGGTCCTGTATCCGTTCTGATCCTGACAGTAACCTGTATATATAGTAACTCCGCTAAATCCTACTTCCATCGCGTTGTAATGAGGTTGCATATCAACGAATCTGCATTCAACCGTAGGGAGAGCTCACCATGTAATTAGCAAATGGTTCGTAACGAGCTTCTGTGTGTGCTTCAGCGAATGAGAAATGCGTGTATTTATGTGTAGTATGCTGTATAACATAATCGATTGACCAATTTTTGTTCTCGTAATTACAATCTTTAATACATATTGTTTCATGTCTCTAATTGATTCGTATTTGAATCACGTTTTGTCAGCTAGGTTTCTCTTTCATTAAGACTTGCTTTATTTCGTAATCATGTTTTCTTTGGAGGGGGTGGATGGAAGAATAGGTCTTAACAGTCATATTTAAATTTACCTGTGATCTTCGGAATCCGACAATATACCTCCGATACGAATTTTATCTGTTAAATATGCAGTGTACAACAATCCCATATATATATAATTTGTAGATTCTGTCCTGACGCGATTGTGTCTAATGGCTTTGGGTGGCATGAATATGGCCTTCCGTTTATTGTTTAAGAACACAGTAGCAGCTAATACAAAGAGACAACGCCTCGAAAATGATCCTGTAGACAGTTCACGAGACAATAAGCCCGGAAACACATAGCATTATACATATCGTACCGCCATGAATATGATGGATATTCAATAAATACGATTGTTTTAATATATTTTACATTTTTTTTAAATATTGTTCAATCCTGTTAAATGTAGGGCTAGTTCACGTATTTACACAAAACGTACATTTTCTGTACATGTTACAGACAGGTAGCGATAGCCTGATCGAAGGATCGAGCGGTGACAATATTCCGTCCAGATAAAATCAATGTTTAACCGGGGAGACACGTAGCGATAGCCTGATCGAAGGATCGAGCGGTGACAATATTCCGTCCAGATAAAGTCAATGTTTAACCGGGGAGACACGTAGCGATAGCCTGATCGAAGGATCGAGCGGAGACAATATTCCGTCCAGATAAAATCAATGTTTAACTGGGAATAGTTGTAAAGCAGCGTGGCAACATCAAGTCACTTCCATGCATAATTCACCAAGTTTCCCTACATATTTCTGGTGTGAGAGGTCAATAGACCATGACATGCATAATCGCATTGTTAGTGATAATTAGTGATCTGTGACATTGTAACAAACCTGGTTTATACAAGGAAATATAGGTTGTCCGTTGGAACTTCTAACCGGTCGATACAGTCCCTGGAATGTTTTCCGGAATCTAAAGAGAGATTCAACTATCGAACGGAAATTGTTGCAATTATCCATATATATCATGAATATAATATTAAAATTACCCCAGAAAAATCGAAATAAATAGGGTCACGTGATGATGACACGATATGTAAATGTATATACTTGTGGTCAGGTAATTAACTGTGACTAAGTTACAATGTACAGAAATGTGGTCTTAATGATACCATTTAGTAATAGACATTTGATTACCATTAATAAGATAACCTTTCCACTCTCCACACTTGCGGGACAATGATTGATCGATGAAGGATTGGACTAGCCAACTTTGATTATTCC